TTCTCAGTCAACCTGCTTTTCAGGCCACAGGAGACCATTTTCTGTTACTATATGCTATTGCTATAGGCTTGGTGCCCATAGACATTAGTCTGCATCAGTCCTGGAGACGTAACTTAGAAAACACTTTTGTATGGCAGAGGGGAGAGGAGCAGCTGCCATTGGGCAGTGGAAACTAGTTGCATTTTTCTTAGGTAGATGTAAAAGGTTTACATCAGCTAATCAAGGACTCTGTCGATGACAAAATAAAGAGAGAGAAGCTCACTACATAAAGCTTTTGCCAGGGACATAGCGAAGATGTCACAAAATCTTAGACGACTCAACTCACTATTGTTTCCTTATACAGAAGACTACAGATCCCTGCCAAACAGGACTCTGTCGATGACAAAATAAAGAGAGAGAAGCTCACTACATAAAGCTTTTGCCAGGGACTTAGCGAAGATGTCACAAAATCTTAGACGACTCAACTCACTATTGTTTCCTTATGCAGAAGACTACAGATCCCTGCCAAACAAAATAATATAGAGTTGTTGTGATTTGCTTACAAAATCCACCACCTTTCCTTAAAAGCTATTTGAATGACTTTATAAATTTACTGGGAAAATAAACACCAAATCTTTCCAATACTCATCTAAGGATGGCTCATATTCTGTAGTGTCTCTCCAATACTGTGCTGGCTGGCATCAGTGTTCTCGATTCCCTTTCCTTCCCTTTTCACATAGACTTTATACAATAGATTACACAAAAAGAATTAAAACTAAAGGGTGTTTTCAATGCAAAATCCATCTCCAGAGGCAGGTTCCATTTAGCATGAAGTTGGAGATTCCCACTGATGGGGTTCAAGCAGTAGCAGGCTAGAAATGGAAACATTGGGGCAAAACCCTGTTATTATTCTTCATCTCATCTCTAGGTAGTGATAATCTGCTCACTCATCCCTGTGTGCTTTCTGGTAGATGCATTCTCTTATTCACATCCCAGTGGCACACATTCTAATCTGAACCACGCACTAGCCCCTGTGAAACAAAATTCATGCATCCCCCACAGCACTGGAATCTACCCTTTCTTTTTCCTGCCCTTTACATTATTTTTTCTCCTGCTTTATCCAAATTCTTCAATTTTATAAGACCCACTGTCTGAACATATCTGCTCTATAAAAGTCAACTGCTTTTCTTTCCCAACAGCTTATTCAATTTGATATTTTTAGTATTTTGATTATGTTCTCTAACTCTCCTTCCTCCCCACTCCTTCTCCCTATAATTGATATTTTATTTACCTTTTGAAATTGGGCTTACCCTAAATAATCAGCACTGAGAAAGAAACACAGTTAATTTTGTTTAATCACATAAAGTTATTGACTTACAAAAACAACCATTTCATAGGATTTATTAGTAAATAAGAGAATACTTCAAAAAGTTAGTCAAAAAATAAATTGAAAGATAATATGAATCTTTCCATGAACTTTAAGAAGTGCCCTCATAAATAAAGAAATGATGTGGGGCCAATGTCACAGAGAAGGGGCAATATCCAGTCAATTCTGTAAGTGCCCGCTCATTCAGGGGACAGAAGCTACTTCTGATGTAAGAACCCTAAATGTGACAGATTCAGTCCCCAACAATTTTTATCATCAGAGTGAAATGGTTAACTTTCATGGCTCATCCTGACAGCTGGTTTGTCCTCAGGGCTCAAGAACCAGTACATCCCAGATGGAAGAGACCATGTACAACTTAAGTTGTTACAACCCCACTTCCTTCATACTTGTTGGAATACCTGGTCTGGAAAAGTTTCACGTGTGGATTGGGATTCCCTTTTGTGCAACCTATGCCATGGCTCTTGTGGGTAATTCCATCCTCCTCTACCTCATTGCAGTGGAGCACAGCCTCCATGAGCCCATGTTCTTCTTCCTCTCTATGCTGGCCATCACAGACCTCATCTTGTCCATGACCACGGTGCCCAAACTGCTCAGTAACCTCTGGCTTCACTCCCAAGAAATAACCTTCTCTGGCTGTCTCACTCAGATGTTCTTCCTCCACTTCAGCTTTGTAGTGGACTCAGCCATCCTGCTGGCCATGGCATTTGACCGCTATGTGGCCATCTGCTTCCCCTTGAGATATGCCACCATCCTGACCCCGCAGGTGATCATCAAGCTCATGGTGAGCATTGTTGTGAGGAGCTTCTCTGTCATCCTGCCAGACGTTTTTCTGCTGAAACGGTTACCTTTCTGCGGGACACGTATCATCCCACACACATACTGTGAGCATATAGGAGTTGCTCGGCTCTCCTCAGCTGACATCTCCATCAACATCTGGTATGGATTTGCTGTACCTCTCATGACTGTCATCTCAGATGTGGTCTTCATTGCCGTTTCCTATACCTTCATTCTCTGTGCTGTCTTCCGACTCTCATCCCAGGGTGCCCGCCAAAAGGCCCTCAGTACCTGTGGCTCCCATGTCTGTGTTATCCTCATGTTATACACACCTGCCTTCTTCTCCATCCTTGCTCATCGCTTTGGGCACAGTGTCCCTCGAAATGTGCTCATCCTCTTTGCCAACCTCTACGTGGCCATCCCTCCTGCTCTAAATCCTATTGTTTATGGAGTGAAGACCAAGCAGATCCAGGACAAATTCATTCTCCTCTTCTCTTTGAAGACGCAATGAGTGGAAACTGAAGGAGAAATTTAGGTAAAACTAATTTGGTAAAACTTTATATAACATAGGAAGAAATAAAAATCAAGCTGTAACTCCTGTTAATTTCAAATTTCAGCATTCTGCCCATGTGCAAAGTATAGGCAAGAGGGAAAGGAGAGAAAGCGAATCCTGTAAACTTCTAGACTCAGGGGGGCGGGGGTTGGTTTAGTTTTCTCACCATTTGTGTAAAAAAGCTGATGATGTCTAAAAAAGAGCACTAAAACTGAGGTTTTAATCTTTCTTATTATTAATTTTGAGGTGTTTGAGGGATAGATATTTCCTAACATGCAACTCAGCCCTCAGTTTCTCAGCTTCTCAAGTAAAGGCAAAGCTTCCTGCTTCCCTCGTTAAGTCTAAGTCGTTATCCATCCGCTCTGCTGCAATTAACAAACTCACTGCTTCACACTTCTTCAGTCCACATACTATACACTATGAATGCCTCCTCTTGTGCCCTTTACTTGTTTTTACTACCCGTCTCAGATAATATAGAATTGCTTAACTTCACCTGTTTTTTTCAATCTCATCCTCCAAAATACGTTTATTTGTTTTTTTTTTTTTTTACAAATTTTGGTCTGTAGTTTACAAACATTAATATATTTAATTAAAAAATAATTATCAGAGAGTAATATTTAATTTGGCTTACAAAGTCTCAGATAATATAGAATTGCTTAACTTCACCTGTTTTTTTCAATCTCATCCTCCAAAATATGTTTTTTTTTTTTTTTTTTTACAAACTTTGGTCTGTAGTTTACAAACATTAATATATTTAATTAAAAAAATAATTATCAGAGAGTAATATTTAATTTGGCTTACAAATGAGTAAACAGAGACTTACAAAGATTACAGAAAGATAGTTAATAGTTCTAAGGCCTAAACCCAGGTCTGTATGATTCAAACTCTGAACTTTTTATCTAATTAATTCTTGAGTATCTACTCCTACAAGTGGTTCACAAGTTTCTCAAATTTAATATCTTCAAAACTGACCTGAAAACTCCTGCCTTCCCTAATAATAAGTGCCCTTTTTATCCTGTTTTCCTTTACGGGGGATGGCACCAGCAAAAACATGAATTTCAAGGCCAGAAATCTGTAGCTTGTTCCTTATTTTCCCTACTTTACACTCCAACAAAATTAATTAAATATTTAAGTTCAATATTTGGGTTTGAGTAGCTTATAAGTCATTCCAGTAGGTCATACATACATAATACTTTCACCTTTACATTATGACTGTTAAGATTGCCTGGATCCTAATCTATCTATGTCTCTGAGNAGAGCTCTTTGGGTAGAAGAAAGATCTGAATAGGTTTTTACTGAACCACAAGACATTTATTCGAATGTTTTCTTTTGACTACCCACTGTAGTTTTAATGATTACTAGTTTATTTTTCTCCCCTTTAAACATGTTCCCTGTGACTAGAAGAAAATGTGATTCCTGTCAGAAGGCAGTGAATCTGTACTCCAAAAGCTGAACTGCAATTTAATCTAAATTATAGAGACATTTGGGACATTCTCAGTCAACCTGCTTTTCAGGCCACAGGAGACCATTTTCTGTTACTATATGCTATTGC